AAGATTTCTAAAACATAAATAGGAAAACAGACATATTTTGAAGCAGGAATTATTCTTATTCAGTAATCCTGAAGAGAGCTCATAGAGCTCTTATATTTTTCATTGGTGGGTTAATTTTTATATCACATAGTCAAAAGGTAAGATATTTTGAGGATCCTTGGTGTTTTGGCATTTTACTGAAATCATTTTGAGATCTGGTAGGAAATCCATTCCAGTTGGAGGAAATTCTATGAGATATAATAAATAGAAAACAGTTAATATCTACAGAGCCTCCAATTCTCACCCTAATGCTGTGCACCATGTTAAATTATCAGAGTGAGGAGAGTCCAAGTTCTACTGGCTGAAAATACGGCTTTGAGCTTTCCATTTAATCTGGAAGGATAATAGCTTTCACCTACTTGGTCATTCAGCGTCAACATTCTCACTTCCCTTACACAAGCACCAGTTTTCTCTATAATGCCTTATCCTTTTCTAACCTATAACTCTTCAGATATCAAAGAAGACTGATAGGAAATTGATACTAGCTACAGTTTTATTAAAGCTAAGAAGACAATATTACTAATTGCAAAAGTACAAGTAGGGAAGAGTTCAACAGAGTCAAGGATAACATCAAAGATCCCAAAAGAAAAATAAAGGCAAGTTTGACAATGGGACTATTTGGAGATGCCTGCTGAATGATCCCATTTTTCTGGCTTTGTTTCTTTCCTAATCTATTTAGGGCATACTTTTTTTTCCAGCACTAAGGGGGAAATAAAGAGAAACTATTTAAAGGGCCATGTGACATTGCTTCTTATAGAAAATAATTATAATTCATTATAGTTACTGTAAACATGTATACAGCTTAACAATATTTAGGTCACAAGCAAGACACTCTTTGAGCAGTCAGAATAGCCTTTTAAAAATGGGCTAACACTTAATGAAATAAAAAGGCAAATAATTATATAATCACTTTGTTGGAAGAGTAGTACCAATGTCATGATAACAAAGGCAACAAGTAAACTGACCTTAAACTTGTTGTTATATCATTTGTTCATTCTTATCAAAATACATTTAGTTCTCTTGCATCATATAGAAAATTCAACCGGTAAATGATCATTTCATATCCATAGGCCCCCATAAATCTGAACTAGCACCACTGAATCAAAGAACTTCCAGCACCTGGGTGAGTTATGTGCTAATTCTTTAAACAAGTATAATACAAAATCATAGTTCATACTTCTGAAATGGTAATATAAAAAGTCACAGATTACTCATGGGAATAATAAGGCTTGGTTATCAAAGTCTTCCAGGTGCCCGGATATGTCATTTTTCAAAAATTTGTCATTTTAAGTCCAAAAACTAAAGTTAGTTTCAGTAAAATATAACTAAAATAAATGTGAATTATTTTAAACATTTCTTAGAGAACAACTAACTACCAGAGAAATGTCTTTTCCTTTTTAGTTCCAAGAGCTTAAATGAAACATTCATGCATTAAATTCAAAGTCTGACTGTCAAATCATTTCACTTTAATAAAAATTTGAATTGCATGCCTTAGGGCATTATCAAATATCAAATAAAAAGTACACACACATAAGCCTGATTCCCAATATAAGTTTTATATGGAACTCTGACTAGATTTGTACTATACATTTCAAGATAAAATGATAAGAAATGTATTCATTAAAAAAATGAAATCAGAATTAGAGTCACCTTATAATTCCTGTACCATTCTTAGGAATTTGGAAGCAAATTACCCCCTTTAAGAAATCTCAGCCACCAAGATGAGAACACAAAAAGAACACAAATCCGTCTTCCTTTTAAAAATAGTACCTAAATTAACTCAAATTTTTGAAAAACTACACAATATTCATCTATCATATAAAGAATATGGAGTATGTGAAATACGCAAAATCTCATAAACATTTCTCTCTCTCTGTGTGTGTGTGTGTGTGTGTGTGTGTGTTTGTGTGTGTGTGTATGTGTGTATGCATAAGAAAAAGAAAAAATAATAATAATTGCTATTTAGATATTTAGAGAACGGCAACTCTGGTCTAGGATCAGATACAAACCAAACATTCAAGGGAATAATATTCCTTTATTAAAAGTGTCATTTACAGTTATTGACATTCACAGGGAATATACTAACTAAACCTATACTGTAGAAATGCATAAACTCATGTTTTGCAACCCTCATCCCACCCCCGTTGCCTCTTGGCTTCTCCTGTGAATCCATCCTTCCCCTCCCTCTGCTCCTATGCCATCTTCCCTGCTGCCCTCCCGATCCTAGTTCCTGCCCCATTCATCATTAAATGATAAGAGCAAGTCATGGGTACACAGCAGCTCTAAATCACCACCTCCTTCTTTCTTCCTTCCCATTGCAGCACAAAGAGTGCCGATCCTCTCAGCAAAAGCCAGTCTCCCTGTGTGCTTAGGATTTCAACCCTTTCAACTTTTTAGACTTCACTGCTTGAGCTCCTCCCAGAAGCAGCACCTTCAGCCTCTCTCCATCTATTTGCTCCTTCCCCACGCCCCAGTATATAAAGTTAAAAATCTGGAGACAACAGATGCTGGAGAGGATGTGGAGACATAGGAACACTTTTACACTATTGGTGGGAGTGTAAATTAGTTCAACCATTGTGGAAGACAGTGTGGCGATTCCTTAAGGATCTAGAAATAGAAATTCCATTTGACCCAGCAATCCCATTACTGAGTATATACCCAAAAGATTATAAATTGTTCTACTATAAAGACACATGCACATGTATGTTCATTGTGGCACTGTTTACAATAGCAAAGACCTGGAACCAACCCAAATGTCCATCAGTGATAGACTGGACAAAGAAAATGTGGCATATATACACCACAGAATACTATGCAGCCATAAAAAACGATGAGTTTGTGTCCTTTGTAGGAACAAGGATGAATCTGGAAACTATCATTCTCAGCAAACTGACACAAGAACAGAAAACCAAACATCACATGTTCTCACTCATAGGCAGGTGTTTTACAATGAGAACACATGGGCACAGGGAAGCGAACATCACACACTAGGGTCTATTGGGAGGGGTGAGCTGGGGAGGGACAGCAGCAGGTAGGGAGGTTGGAGAAGGATAACACTGGGAGAAATGCCTGACGTAGGTGACGTGGGGGATGAAGACAGCAAACCACCACGGCAGGTAGGTACCTGTGCAACAATCCCACAAGATCTGCACATATACCCCAGAACTTAAAGTACAATTAAAGAAAAAAAAAAAAAAGATTTCCTCAATCCTACCCCCTCTCTGTTGCTGAGGCCTCCTGCCCCACCCAGTCCAGCCCACCAAGGTGGCTGTGACCTGGAGTCTCCAGCTCCTGCCTTTCTGTGATCTTTGGCCTGCTGCAACTGCGTCCCTCCTTGATGTACCACTCGACCACCAGTGTGGCTACTCTCTTTGACTTCTGCCCATATCATGGTAAAGAAAAAGAGCCCTGCCAATCAAGGTTCCTGGATCTTTCAGCTCCGCTGCTCAACAAATGCATTATATTGGGCTGTGACCTGACTTCTCTGTGTCTTGCCTAACTTGTGCGTAAAACTTCCCACAAGATTTCATGCACACTAGTGAAGTCAGAACATTATATGAACATGTACATATACAAAGTCCTTGTCCAATACTCCCATATTTCGACCCATCCTGTTTTCTGATCTCCACTCTTGAAATTCTAATGACCTTCATGACCAGAATCCACTACTGGAGTTTGTGGTTGACAGGCATCTCTCACTCACTGAGCTACAGCTCAACTCTTTATCTTCAACCAAACAGGGCCTCCCTGCAGCCTTCCTACTGCCACTCAGTGGCACTCCATCTAGGGTTCCCAAAGTGTAAATCCCCAGAAGTTATCTCTGACACTTCCATCTCCCTCTACCCCTCATCCAGTTCATCATTAGCTATAACCTGCAATTTCTATTTCACATACATCAGCTTCTCTCCACCTCCATTGCTCCTATTCTAGTGTCCAAGCCTCCACGTCTGTCGCCTTGGTTACCCAGCAGACTTCTTTGTTTTTCTGTTTTGTTTTATTTTTGTTTGAGACAGGGTCTGACTCTGTCACCCAGGCTGCAGTGCAGTGGTGCCATTTCAGCTGACTGCAGCCTCCACCTTCCGGGCTCAAGTGAGCCTCCCATCTCAGCTTCCTGAATAGCTGGGACTACAAGTGGATGCCACCACGCCCAGCTAATTTTTAAATCTGTCTATAGAGAAGAGATTTCGCTGCTTCCCTAGGATCTATTCCAACAGATGCTTTCCCCTTGGGAAGCTGTGGCTTGCCAGTGATGCACAATGACTGATGCACTCTTTGGCAACCAACAAGGTAAAGAAACAATCCAATATATAGTCGTTTTTATATTTTATCTCTTCCATGTTTGTGGTATTTTATTTTGTTAGAGGCTTAAGAGTAAGGAATACATACAGTGAATTTGATATATTAAAATATATAGATTATGTTTCACCATATTCAGATAATTAATAAGTACTTCTCACTTTATCAAATCAACAGCCCTTCCACAGAACAAGTATTTCAATGCATGCCAGATAGGCTTCCTACCATGAAAAAAAAGAGAATCAATTCTGCAGAAGACAAGTAGGGTCCACAGTGAGGCTCACACCCTCCCCAAGCCCCTTCCTGTGTGATCCTGGGTCACTGGGACATGACTGGTGCTGGACAACATGGTAAGTTACTAAAGAGTTCCTTGCATGTCACTGTTTCTGGGCCTCAGGGTGTCTTTCCTTATGAAAGCCAGCAAAATTTGGAATTTAGGGCTACTCTGATAGGAAAACATAATCATAGTTTTTCTTTAATACTGCATAAAATTAATATAACAACCTGACCTATAATTAAGAGCTCAAGAATGTGTCATAAAATTTATCAAGATGAAGTAAATATGCTTTATTATTAAATTACCAGGATCACCATTAAGTGTTACCTTTGGGATGCTAGGTTTAAGTAGCTGTGCACCTCATTTTCCTTACATAATCTGGACATACCCTCATGAAGATAGACTGTTCCTGTCCTCTTTGGCTACTGAAATGCAGCTCTAATGACTCTGTCACTAAGAGGCTGAGTGGGTCGAAAGTTGTCTCCCAAAATCCCATCACAGCCTTCCACAAGTTCTGCCCCCTTAACATGCGTCCTCAGCCTTCGAAATTCTTCTATCTGAAAATAAAAGCAGAAGAAAACAGATTAATACATTAAAAAGATTGGAGTTTCATAAAGGACATGCATAAAATGTGCATAAATTACAATTTTAAAAGAGAAAATTAAAATTAAGCTACAAAGAGAAAAAAAGCAGACTTCATTCTTCCAGACCTAAGACATTAGGACACTTTGAAGAGATGACAACAGAAGCAGACATATCAAGGTCTCTGAACAACTCCAACAGACACAGAAATCTGCTGCATTTGTTAATGTAAAAATGACACACACCTCTCTCAAAAAGGTCTTATGCCTATCTATAACATAGTAAGAATGAACAAATGAATGTGTTCTTAAATGCTTCCCAAGTATATCTTAATTAACAGATTCTTATGTTACTGTATGTAAACACTGATTAGATCTTAGATTCATAAGATGGATTCAAGGTTTCCTTTCATCAAAAGACTTCTGCCACTTTTTCAGCCCTCTGGAAAGCATGAGTCTAAAAAATATCTTTGATTTTCCAAAAGTCTGAGTCCAACTTCCGGTCTTCACAATACTGATTTTCAAGTTCATTTCCCTTTCTTGGGTGGCCTCTCCAGGTCCCATGGCTTCCCCATTATAACTGAAGAGGTTCTCAGAGTCCTCAGGGACCTTGCCCACAAGCCTCCCTGCAGTTTCTCTAAGAACCCAGAGCCTGCCAGACATGACTCTCTGGGAAGTATTAATATTTAAGCAACAAGCAAAAGTGATGAGCATTCCCCAGGCTCATTCTCATCTATGAACTAATTTACCTACAGGGTTCCTCATCTATTAATTCATTTAAGTGCCACATAGTCACATGACACATTCTTCATTTCTTATACAGAAGGGGAAACTGAGACTGGAACAGTTTTAAAGTTTCCATATTCGCTAGCGGAGAAGTCTGACAATTCCAAGTCTATCTGCTCTTTCCTCATTACCACAGCCACCTCTTTAGGAATTCTAGGCAACTCAGTATAATCTATCTCCTGCATATATCCCAGGGTATTGAGCAAATGTGATTTGGGTAATATCAATTTGCCAAAAGTTCACCATCTGTGTATTAAGGGATTATATCTACAAAGATCCTTAATATGACCCAGCCATAGAATTCTGCCATTCATAAAGAGAACTAAAATGCAAGAGAGCAACTAATTCAGGAGCTCCAGCAAAAGTCGAGAAACACCTAGAGACTTAGGGGGCCCACAAAAGCCCTGAATGATACGCAAATGTTTACATGCGAATTTTCCTCAGAAGAGGACTCCCTGACTCCAAGAGTCAAATCCCACAACATTCGAATTCAATACATTCACACACAGAGTTGGAGAAAAATTAAACAGCTAGTTTGATTAGAACCTGGGTCAGAAAGCCAGCTTCCTTTCTGTTGTTTTTTTGGGTGTTTTTTTTTTTTCTCTGCACTTATATGCATGCAAAGAAAGATGACTTCAAATGTCTTATTTTTCCATGTCCATGTCACTGAACACTGATTGATTTACCTTAATGAAATTAAGTCTGACCCAACTGGGATTGTCCTGTTTAGTTTTTTATAATACCTATACATTGTATTTACATAGAGGAGCCAGTCGGAAAAGCAATCAGTTGTTTAATCTGCTTGATGGTTTTTCACTAGATCTTCTTCAGGTATTAGAATGAAAATCCGAGTAGCACCTATTGCTTGCTGCATCTGAAAAACTTCTAGAAGTGAAGATGCCTCAGAATCTCTTATTATTTGCTTTCACCTTAAAGTTTTCCCTAAGTACAGAGTGAAAAGAAAGCTGGTCAGTTTGAGAGAATCTTATGCTTTTTCAAAAAGAAGAATACTGACAGTGATAGCACTTGGACTCTGCACCCAAAAGCCAATTCTTGCCTGCTTTGCCATCTAAGACCCAAACAACCCAAGGACTTCACTTCTTCAAGCCTCAGTTTCCACATGTGTATAACAGAGATGATAACAGTATTCACAAGGATAGTCTACGAAATAAGAAAGAATATTCTTGAAAATCACTCAGCATAGTTCCAGGCACACAGGACGTGTCTGCCAAATACTAGCACTTCTATTTCGCAACTTCTTTTGAAGTCGAACCTTTAGCATTTTGAGATAAGTATTTAGCTACAGTTTTATATGCAGAAAGTATTTATAATAAACCAAAAACTCACTGAGGAAATTTAAAGTCATCTCTCCTAGCATTCATTTTTCCATGTAATCATAATTGATATCTGCAACCTGAACCAATGAGGCATGCACAGGTCACTGAGGAGCAATGTGGGCTAGAAACTTTACTGCCTCAACATATGAAAGACTCCATTTTTTATTGGCTTTGAAGATTATTTTAAAGCTGGGTTAATTTTATATTTATGTATTCTGAACTGGAGACAAATCTTTCAAGCCCCAGGCCTCACCCTGAAGCACATTCTGTGAAAACAACTTCTTCCAGAAGAGATGATCTGAATCAACAGCCAGCCAGTCCCAAATGACTATACTCTCAGAGAAAACTATTTCACAAGCAATGTTTTTCTCTGATCACAGCAGTGCTTTGAAGAATTCAAACATCAACAGAGATGGAGGGGAATATGCATCTTTCTGAAATGCCAATTTTTCCAAAGCAACCACCCCCAAAACCCTTTAGTCACTTCAAATGGTTTCAAGTGCATTCTGAATCAGCCACACTGAAATGAGAGATTGTGATAAATGAACAGAATAATATTTCGGGATAGAAATCTTTAACAAAACTCAAATGTCAGGGCCTTCCAGAAACCATCATTATAACATATATCTGAATGTATAAGTGAATCCACTGTTAATGCTATTTCACTTTAATATGGTTATTTATTTTTAACCAATTTAAGAGAAAACTGAATTCAGGGCACTGACACTGAACATTTCACGGATAAGTCTCCATCTTCCAAAGGCATTAGATTGAAAAGCCACTGTCCTTTGAACTACAGATGCACTGCAATTGGTCTAAGACATTTATTCCAATCTTCACTGCCTCACAAACCAAATTATCCACTAGAAGTTCAGCTTTAACACTGCTTCTTTATTAATGCATTCAAAAGGCTAATTTCCAGGGTTTGCAGTTTAGTGCTACGTAACTTTCAGGAGTTCCCAAGTTCTAACAGATTTTTTTTTTTTTACTTACATTTCATGTGTCATCATGTTAAAAGAGAAGTATAACACATAAAAGTCAGTATGCTCTCTCCAGTAACCCATCCATGGGCACTTATATGTTTTCCCTGTCTTGACTGTAATGAACATAGGACTGCAGATATCTCTTCAAGACACTGACTTTAATTCCTTTCAGTCTATATCCGGAAGACAAAATCCGCCAGACATGAAAACATAAGTATTATATGAACTCACTCAGTCGAACTCTTAGAAGCAAAGAGAAGAATGGCAGCTGTCAAGAGCTGGCAGGAAGCAGAAACGGGGATGTAATGGTTAAAGGGTACAAAGTTGCAGTTATGCAAGATAAATAAGTCCTTGAGGTCTCCTATACAGCAGAGTGCCTACAGTTAACAACACTGCATTGTATACTTTAAATTGCTAAGATGGTAGATCTTATGTTAAGTGTTCTTAGCCAACAAAATATTACAACAACAAAGGACATGGGAGGAAGATTTGGGAGGTGACAGATATTTTACGGTTTCGATAAATAGTTCTTTATAAAAGTGGTGCTTGCCTTTTCTTTTATCAATAACAATACAAGAGTAAGAATAATATGATTCCTTATGCTACTAATCAAATTAAAAAGTCAAAAGCAAATTGTACTGAAACACTCCATACGTGTATACAGAGAGAGATACAAACACAGAGAGGACTCTGCACCTTTCACATACTACAGCCTTGTTCTTGCCTCATTTCTCTTCGACCAATTATATAATGTTCCATATAAGACCGATGCTTCCTCTTCCTTACCGACCTCTCATTCATAAACCAGCGCTCACCCTATCATGACTCCTTAATCTGATCTTTTTTAATTTTTTTGAGGAAGAGAGTAGGAAGAACACTCACTCCCCAGTGACACCAACGTCAACGGTCCTGATGCCATCCCCAGCCTAAAGGAGCCCCAACCCCAGATGCTGTCTGCTCTCATCACCTCAAGAGTTTCTGAGCCACACAGATTTAAACATACTCAAGAATTACAGATTAGAGAGCTCACAATCACAGGGAAAGTGCTGTCTATCACTAAGGTCACTAAGAAAATACATATAAAAAATCTCTACAAGCAATTTAAAATAACACATTTTAAGAAAGTGAAGAAACAGTCTCCCCAGTGAGAACCTTGATTTGTACTATTCAGGATGGCAGCCACTAGGCCCACGTGGCCACCAAGCATTTGAAATGTGGCCTGTCCAATTTGAGATGTGCTGGCAGTGCAGAATACACACTGCAAGCCGAAGACTCAGTATAAAGTAAGAATGGAAGAAATCTCACCAATGACTTTTTACCTTTACATGTTTAAATGATAGTATTTTACACATACTTGGGTTAAGTACACTATTTGAATTAGTTTCTTAATTTTATCTGTTTCTTTTGGCTTTTTTTTTTTTAACCATGGCTACTAAAAAGTTTAGTATGTGGATCACATCATGTTTCCACTGGACAGGACTCACCTAGCACTGCCATTCACACTCACCTTCAGGACCTCAGCATTCTCGGGTTAGAGCGCTGATCTCAACTACATGTAGAGACGAACGCAGGTAGATATGAAACAGTGGTTCTCAAAGTATCCTCCCAGAATAAAAGTGTAAGTTGTCAGCAACTACCCCAGGCCTACACAATCAGCAACTCAAGGGTGGAACCCAGCAATCCCTTTAGCAAGCCCTCAGGGGATTCTGACACACACTCAAGTCTGAGAACCATGGATGTCTTCGTCTGTTCTGTGCGGCTGTAACAGAATAGCTGAAACTGGATGAATTATAAAGAACAGAAATGTATTTTCTCACAGTTCTGGAGGCTGGAAGCCCAAGATCAAAGCATTTGGCATTTGGTATTTGGC